AGGTTTTTGACGAGACAATTCGTGCAATACAACAATGTATACTACGCGTTTTGTCTTCATTTTTCTCCGTTGGGTTTTTTAGGGTTGTAAGGCATAGATATACGAATAATTATCTAAGAGTGAGTGTTGGAAAATTAGGCCCACCTATGGTGTGGCGGTGGAGGTCTACGCAAGGCGCATGTCCTAACCCCTCCCGATTCCACTTTCTACTCTCTTTTCATGCGACTGGTTTCACATTTAGGACTGTATAACCGAACCATTTCCCAGCCCTCTCACACACTATGCATTTCTGACCGTCCGATGTCATCATCTGGTCATCTCTGGTCGTTAGTGTTGGGCTAAGTCCCTCCACATGGAGGTGTGTTGGCAGCCCAACATCAACCCATAAGTCCAACACATGTCAGCTGTTGATCTTTGCTGCATCCAACGGTTGAGATCGAGCGCTTCTAAGGGAAGCGAGGCAAGGAGAAAACCCTAGCCACTCCACCCCTGCTGGTGGTGGATGCCATTCGTGAGAGTGTGAGAGAGAACACACAAGAGAAACCACAACCTGAGAGAGGAGGAAGAAGAAGAAGCAGAGGTTCTGTCCAGATTTGCTGCATCTGACTAGACAGTGTTCAAGCTGGTGGTTGGAGGTCAAATGTGCTTGGATCGACCCCAAATTTGGTGAGCTCATTTCTTACTTTGAGTACTTTGATCTACTTAGCTGGTTTGAGGATTGGGTCAGTGGAGCGTCATATTTGAGAGTGGTTTTGTCAGCTCTGACTGCTGCAGTTTCAGAACAGAGTAGTTTTGGGAGACGAAATGTTTGGGTAGGCAAACGATGCCCGATTGAGCTAAAGTCATAAGGGGATCTCAGGAACTTGTGTGTCTACTTGTCTGTCAAATTTGGTGATGTTTGGTTTAACGGTTTAAGAGCAGTTTGCAAAACACTGAAGGGTACAGAAGTTGTGTAAACTTTGCTTTGCTGAAATCTTGCCTCTTGTGGTTGTTGTTGCTGTTGCCGGTTGACAACGTGGAGTGTGTGTTGTAAATCTCTCTAGAGGTTCTAAAGAAGACTTTGTACTCATCATTCTCATAGTGAAGTTGTGTGGACCGGTCGGTCCACAGCAGTGGTTTTTTACTCCTCAAGTTGAAGAGGTTTTTCCACGTTAAATTATGTGTCACATGTGCATGTTGTTTGTGTTATTCCGCTGCTTACTTGTTGGTTGAAGTTGTCCTCAAAGTTCATCATAAGGAAAGGGGACTGTATAGTGTGCATATTTTTCGTGCGGTGAATTTGTGTAGCGCATTGTTGATGTCCAATCCCAACAGTTAGGTCAATGTAGCATCCCGTAAAACTGGCCAACTGTCCTATAGGACTGCTTGGCTGAATTGAAGGCCTCTGGTTGATCGGGTTGGCCTGCGGCTGATTGGGCCTTTTACCTACACGAAGCCATCTACTTGGGAGAACAAAGAAATGTCAAGTAAGACAGACCAAACGATCTGACTGACAAGCGGAAGCAGTAATCCAGCTGTTCAGTGCGAGCGGCGTCCGGCGGCACCCGCTGCGACATAGCTCGCCAGTTGCAGGACTTGTAGAATCAGCGTCCTTAGGCGTGCCACCGTCCAAGACGACCGTCGTGCTTATACATTCCCACCATGTCGGCCCTGCGTTCCCTTGCTGGTACAACTCGCCCCTCTTTTATTCTAGATGCTTACAGTTTCGAGGGAGGTCCCGCATCCTGATTCTAGTTTGACAACTCTGTCGTCCATGCATTTGAGAGCCAGGTCTCACATCTTGATTCCAGTTCCAAGGCCCGGGCGTACATGTATTTGATAGCTGCCCACATGGTGGAAGGGATAAGGACAATGGGTAAGGTAAATCGCAAAACTCCGCCCACCAGATTTCAGTCCATGACATAGGCTAATAACGTTGATTCAGAATTTAACAATGATCAAGTGTTAGTTATCCTCCGGTTTTATTAATTTTTGCAGTGGTTGTGTTCGCCCTGGGTTCCGCTTCACACTGTGGCTTGTTGCCCTGCGACTGGCAGGCGTTCATGTTTCCCTTCCCCTTTCATTTCAACTCTTAAGTGTTTTTGGTATAAGGTACTGTGGTTGTGTTCCTACTTCACAACATTAATTTTCAGGTCAGTTAAGTAAATATATTTTTATATAATGTGCAGATCCAGTTTCGCATATGGGGATTCTTATGTGGATATTAATTTTCAGTATTGCTGGCTGTATTACCTTTTCTATCCATACATTCATCCAATTTCAAAGCAGCACAGGCACAGAGTCCAAGCTTAGGAATGAAGCTTAGTGTTCTTGAGGTGTGCATTCTCCTTCATCCATGGACGAAGGTGGACATGGTAATTCTGCCAACTTTCTTCCTTATTTGGTATGGGTTAGTCATGTATGATAACTAGATTTGGATACCATTTATGACATTATTGTTGGTGTCATCGCCACACACAGGAGGCAACCTCACGGGCATGGGTTCAAGCAAAGGCCAGAGTTGTGGTTACTCTTTCAACACGGAATCCATCGATGTAAGGTTATGCTTCCCAAGCCTCAATCAACACATGTCTCCCGTCAATGGTGGCCTACTCATTGGGCATTATGCAAGTATTAGGTTTTGTCGATCTTCTCTATACTTTAGTCAAAAATTTCTTCCATTCATTTTAGTTCTAGAACCATGAACAAATGATCTGCAATGGGCAACAAATATACCATATCACTCCCTTTCGTATATTTTGTCCTTGTCCAATCAAATATAATGGCCATTAAAGGATTTTGGTTATACTTTGTCTTAAAAATAATGCAAATTTAAAGAGTCATGCTCTTCTTGTTTGAATTGGTCATAAGGGACTCCCAAACTAAATTGATGTTTTATGCTTGATTCTAAATAGCTTCCTTAGTTGCTCAAAGTAATAAATTCCTATACTACAATAGTACAATTTAGAAATGAAAATCATATTCTATTTAGACTGCATTATTTTATCATTTTGCCGAGTCAAGCCGAAGATAACCCAAAAGGCTCTATGCATAGTTTTGGTTTACATCAAACTATTTTGTTCAAATACTTTCTTCCAAAATTTCAAGAAAATGCCAGAAAGGTTTTCTCAACGGTTACAAGAAACAAGGTTATGACTGTGGACCATCCACCAGCTGAGATTTGGCCCCCTTGCTTTATGATTTCAGTTCCTTTCTTTTGGTTTGAGAATGATAAGTGCTACAGGAACATGTCAGTGAGATTCATCGTATGTTTTGCACACGTCACAGGACACATGATGGTGAGATTCATATTATGTTTTGCACTTTTGACACAAAATTGGTCTGTCTTCATACGTTGAGATAGGTTCTATAATACTATGTGTCTTCCAACAAGTTAATTCGTCTTGAGAGATGGTTGTTTGAAGGGTGCATCTGCGATACTGCTCCCTTTAGCGATGTTATTTGAATCTCTCATGCAAATCATCGAAAAAAAATGTTCACGCCATTTTTCAATTATTATGCAATGGTGTTTACTTTTTATTTTTATGTTGCCTGTGTGAAATTCTAGATATTTTTTTTGCATTTGTGGCCTGGTTTTTCTTTCAAATTACTATTGCCATTTATAGAGCAACTACTTTGGAAAATATCCATCATATTTCACCTCCGGCTACTCCCTCCGTCTAGGTGTGTAAGTCATCTTACGAAAACCAAATAATCCCAAAACACTTAGGCGCGGTGCATCCCTCCTTCCATCTATATAGGGCCTAATGCGTTTTTTGAGGCTAACATTGACCAAATATTAGAGCAATAATATATGACATGCAACTTACACAAAGCACACCTTTAAATTCGTGTGTGAAAGGAGTTTTCAATGGTATATTTTTCACATTATGCATGTCATGTACTATTAATCACGCCAATAGTCAAAGGCGGTCTTAAAAAATGCATTAGGCCCTGTATAGATGGAAGGAGGGAGTAACTCGTTTCTTTTTCTTTTACATATCAACCAATAAGAAATTAGGGGTGTGCATGCTTTTAATGACTTGAGACTATCAAACACGACATGCAGTGGTTAGTTCATTGCATGTAATACTATTAATTAGCAAATAAACATTAATGTCTCTTGTTTTCCCCTCCTGCTTGGTCACGGTGCACAATCTAAGATGACTTACTCACCTAGACGGAGGGAGTACATTGTTTCTTGTAAATTTGCAATTCCCTTTACCTTTCTCCGTTCCAAAATAATTGACTCAACTTTATACTAGCTTTTTTTTTGCGGGAAACTTTATACTAGCTTTAATAAAAAGTTATATTAAATTTGAGACACTTATTATTTTAAAAGGGAGAAAGTAGTTTGTTAATCCGACCCATCGTCAGGAGTTGCGGAACAGAAGACAATGCGAATAAATAATTTGCCAAGTCCCAAATTAAATTAGCACACAACAATGGACCTAGAATCTCGTTTTCGCACGACACGACACGACACGACACCTACCCTCCGTTGATCATCGCCCAACGCTGACCGACCGGGAAGCCGGTCCTCCTCCTCCCCCTCCTCTCTCCGTCTACCGTGATCCGTGTCCCCAGATTCGTCCGCCATCCGGTCTCATCTCTCCTCCTCCCCCCTCTCCCCTGCTCTCCGTCCCCGAGCTCCCACGCGCCCCCCACCCGACCAGCCCCGGCCGTCCCGCTCGTCTCTCCAGTCCGCGACCCCGGCGGCCGCCCCCACTCCGTCCCCGACCCTGCGGCGGCGCGTCCCGGCGTCCCAAGGTGGGGATTATATTTCCTTCTTCCCTATCTGTTTCCTTGGCAGCTCCCTGATCCAATCGATCCATCAGGGCTCGACTAACTTCTTCCAGCGCCTCTTCAGCGCGGGAGATCTACCAGCGTCGGCGGAGGGGCGTAGGTGCAGGCGTGCAGCCCAAGTCCGCACCCGGCTCTAGGTTTCTGCTAATCTTCTTCCACCTGTGATACGCGCTCCGGGGCTAGGAGCACTCGTTGCCGGCTGCCTCGTGCTCGGAATGGCGGATGGGGACTCGTCCGACTTCACCTTCTGCAAGGCATGTTCCTTCCTTCCTTCCATGTGTTGCTTGTCCATTTAAACATTTACATGTTGCTGTGTATGAAGATGCTGACATCTGACAGGTCTTGTCTTGCTGGGCCTGTGGAATTGCTTGTGTTACATTAGGGATGCGAAGTTATTTGTGTTACCTCTGATAATGTGCATTAGTGTAGATGCGTAGGTGATATTCAGTAATTCAGATGATAACAGAAGGAGTAAAGTGTTCATAAATGAACAATTTAGTAAATGGAAATCCAAGAGGAAAGTAGTAGAGAACAACAAATCAAGTCAGCAGAGTATTCAGTTATTCACTCTGTGTGATAACACTGTTCTTATTTCTCTGTCTGTTTGATAAGTGCTCATAGTGGGGGCTTGAATGCATTATACATGTGTTGTGTAATCATCTCCAAGGTCCAAACATATGGTTTGCCCAGTCCATTGTGGGTTACTTTCTTCCCTGCTTTTGTTTGTGATAGATCTGGTCTGAAGTTTTGACACCTCAGTGGCTCCAGTGTGGCAGACATATAGAGATTTTACCATCTTCGACCTGTCGAGTGCGTTTAATTGCTTGGTGTCATTTTGCTCAAGTGCTCTTTGCCTACTGTGACCGAGGATCAAATCCTATGGCATGCATTGTTGTTGTTGTTGCTCTTTGCGTACTGTAGTTATATAATTATATAATTGACATGTTCTGCTCTGAATTATTGAAATGAGTTCTAGTGGCTTGGCATAGAAATTAGTTGATGTCAATATATTGTTGCTTGTTTCTCACTTGTTTGATATTCAATGTTTATTTTTGCTCTCTAGGTTGACTATGCTGAAAATGATGGTCGTTTGGACTCCCCTAATTCCATCGCTGTGGCAAGTATGACACTGGAGGATGTTGCCGGTGATGGTGAGACTAAGAAGGTTCAGGATGACAAGCAAACAGTCAATCCAGTTACTGATGAAAAATCTAGTTCCATATCTAGTCGCACCAATGGTGTATCGCTTCGAGAGTCCAATATAAAAGAACCAGTTGTACCAACCAGTAGTGGAGAGTCTGTGCAGTCAAATGTGTCAGCTCAACCAAAACCTTTAAAGAAATCTGCTGTACGTGCAAAGGTTCCTTTTGAGAAGGGCTTTAGCCCAATGGACTGGCTTAAGCTGACTCGTACACATCCAGATCTGGCAGGTAAATTATGCAAGACATTAGCTGGTACTGTTTTTTGATCATCAATGTCTCCTGTTTTTCTTGGATGGTTTGATGCTACTCCCTCCGTTCCTAAATATAAGTCTTTTTAGAGATTTCAATAAGGATTACATACGGATGTATATAGACATATTTTAGAGTGTAGATTCACTTTTTGTTCCGTATGTAGTCCGCATTGTAATCTCTTACTTACTTACTAAGCCTTTTGTCCCAAACAAGTTGGGGTAGGCTAGATATGAAACCCTTTCACGAGGACTTCCCAGGAGGTCACCCATCTCCTAGTACTACTCTCGCCCTATGTTTTAAGGCGGTAAGGTGA